ACTGTATGTTAGTATTGTCGCAAGTTGATTTCCATAAATTTCTTATACAATCATTTGGAGAGGTTTTAAGGCTTTACGAGAGACTGTTTGGCACTGAGTGAACTTGACGGATGGAGGGTATATATTTAGTCCAAATTTATTACTTGTGAGGAAGACATTACTTAATGTTCCAGATACGGGTATTTCAAGCCATTTCCGTAAGAATTTATTAACAACTGAGTCCATGTTTTCAGAAACCGACGTTTTTGATAAGGTAGCGACAGTAAAATGCCAGGAGAATTTCGATAGGAGATAACGACTATACAGTAAAATTTTGTTCTTTGAGTGTAGCGGTTTGAGGTCAATTTCTGACATGATATCTTCAAGGAGGGTGATTAGTTCTTGTTTGTCATCTTTGTCAGACATATTGAAATCAAAATATTTCCCTAAGTATCGGAAAGACTCCCCTATTTTAGTGGCCGGTATTAATTTATTGTCAATGAGGAGTCTTGGCATGGTAGGTATTGGATTGATTCTGTCAGTCTTTTCTTAATGCCAAATGTACTACATTTGTCGACTCGAGTAATCATGTTTGACCATTGACACCAGATTGAGAAGCGATTTAAAAGGTGCTGATTTTCGCTCTCTTGACCGCTAATAGCGGCTGCATCGTCAGCAAACTGGAACCAATGGATTGGATCTAAAAATTTGGTCCTGAAACCAAATTGGCGGTATTTATCAGCTTTAATGTGCTGAATAAAGGTGTTGAAACACATATTGAAAAGTAAAGGACTAAGACAGTCTCCTTGAAGTACACCTCGGCCAACAGTTATAAATGGGGTAGAGAATTCGGCAGTTATAATTGTGGTGTTGAAGTCAGTATACAAGCTCTTGATAATTTCATTAATCTGTTCGGGAATGTGATGATAATCGAGGACAGATTGAATGAGATTATGATGCACTTCACCAAAGGCGTTTTTAAGGTCAAGAAGAATGATGACAACACATGGTGTGAAGTGAAGCCTTTCTGAATCTTTTGTTCAATGAAATTATTAGCCGTTAGAAAGAGAACATGGCGTTGCGAAGATATGAGGTCAACACTTTTAAGGGTATGGATTCCAGAGTAATAGGACGGAAATTGGAAGGGTCATTTGTATTGCCCTTTTTGTGTATAAGTACAGAGCATGCAAATAATAATAATGAAAACTTTATTAAATGGATATTTAGCTTATATATACAATTGCAAATCTCACTTATTTAAAGTAATTTACAACTGGCTACTTAAATCACTGATTATATATACAAAAATTATACTATTAAGATAACAAAATGACAGTACAACGTTTAAACACTTAACAGTTCCGGATTCATCCATTCCTTGTTTCGACAACAAAATATATAATACGCTGTTCGGATTGCAATCGTCGTCATTCTTCTAATACAGTAATTCTGATGTTGCTTTTGAAAACCAAAATCATTAAGCATTTCTATGAAAGTAGAACATTCTTTACTGAAAACACCAAGAGAACTAATCGAAAGATTTACAAATTTTACTGAGTTGAAATGTTCATTTTGTTCCCTAATTAATTCTTTATATTTTGATTTTTTACGCTCAACGTTTCTTTGAAGATTTGATTCGAAGCCAACTGGAAGTTCAACAATATAGAGTCTTCCGGTTGAGGTTGAAAGAAGCAAATCTGGACGGTAGGTGTCACCAGTGATGATTGATGGACTTTTGTACCCTGCGAGATCCACGTAAAGATGTGAGCCGCTTATGGTCTGTAGGCTTGTTGCGAGAAAGTTTAGAACTAATAATAATAATAATAATAATAATAATAATAATAATAATAATGGAAACTTTTTATTTTATTTTATTTTTTTTATTTTTTTTTAATAATACAACTTTATTCATTATTTCATTATATACAATAATTCTTTTGTTATCAATGACTATATTAAATTATCTGTTCTTTGGGTATAATTAAAAAAGTGTCTACATGTTTGTTGATATGTACAGTTAAATTTTATAAACAAACTCTGGAACATATACCGCTACATAATCTCTACCAACTCTGCCAATCGACTATGGTATCTCACACATTTTTTGCCCATACCGCCTGTGGTGGTGAATACGAGTGGCGTAAATGTTCCTTGCTCTATTTCGAGGACTCTCCTTGCATATAGGCGCTTCTTCTCGTTTTCGTGTATCTTGTAGACTTGGAGTAGCTCCAGGTCCTTGTACGAATCAGCATTGAGATGACAAACCCTTACATAAAAAAAAAGGCTGATCGTTGACTTTCCGAGAACCCACGCGCACGAATGTCGAGTCTAGCATCAGGTGCTCTGTTGGAGCCTCCATTTAGTTGCTCTCCCGAGATGTCTTGTAGGACAGGCTCAACTTGGACGTCACTACAGACAATGTTGAGGAGTTCCGCTTCCAGATCTCTTAACTCATTGTGGCGCATAATTACAAAGCCTCCACGTTTGCAGATCATGGCATGGTCGACCGTGAAGGTATCCCCACATACACATATGGAGGGGATGTCGTCGATTGGCCAATCATAGCGCAGCTTTACGGCGTCCCGAAATTCTCTCTTATTTTTCACCCTGCTCGGTTTCCTTTGTTCTTGTCGGGGAATATATTCAATATTCCCCTCTAATCAATTTCCGTTTAATAATCCCCTCTAATATTCACCTGCAATTAATAATCCCTCTAATATTCACCTGCAATGTCTTTGCAGCACAAAAAATGAGAAAAAACAACATCGCAAAAGCAATATGGCATTGAGAATTATTTCTTTTCTGACTCATTAACGCGACCTCGCAGTGTGAAAAGTAAGTACGTTATTTTGAGGCACCTCGGGGATATGTGTTTATTCACCTCGGCGCTGCGCGCCTCGGTAAATAAATCACATATCCCCTCGTTGCCTCAAAATAACCTATACTTATTCAAGTTGAATCCCTGCTCTTTTAGGGGAAGTGCTGTGAGCCACACAGATGATCCTTTTTCCGAAGCCACATCTAATATACGCTGAATTCTTGGTGGTGCACTCTCTCTAATACGTTCTGCCCTCTCCTCCCACTCTTGCACTCTTTCTTTTCTAAAGGCTTGTTGCGCTGATTTTATATGCGACTCGTTGGGTAGCTGATGGAACTGCGCTACAATCTGATCAACAAGGGGTGCTGTCACTCTTATTGACGATACATACTGACGTTCTGCCTCATGACTTGGATTTTCCAAGCCCAGGCCACCCAGACATGCTGGAAGTGCTAGAATGTCCCGATCGAGTGGATTGCACTGGTGATCTGTGATAGCGGGGATGAGAATCTGCGATATTGCCTTTTCGAGTGGCTCTAGTAGGTCCTGGATGTCTTGTAGGGTTCTTAGGAAGTAGATCCAACGATGTTTCAAACCAAATGTGTATGCGGCATAGGACGCTTGTGGTTGGGACAGTGCAAATTCGGCTAATTCTGTCACTTCGTTGACCCAATTAGAGACCTTCTCATTAACATATTCCTCCAGATACTCTCGTGAACCTAGCGCTGCTCCCAGATGTTGAATTCTGCCCATGCACTGTTACATTGATATCCGTTCCGTGGAAGACTTCTCTCACACTTTCTTCCTTTTCGGGCTTAACAATAATCCAGCATTTCTCATCTTTCGGAAAATATCCCAAGTTTCGACCAAGAGTATTCAATGCATCCCACCAATCTTTGATTTGTGTCACACGACCAGCTCCACTCGCATCGTCTGCGAACCAACACTGCTTCACGGTAGATGCGGCCTGTAGACTCGTGATCAAAGGCAGGGTACTTATCGCACAAAAGGCCATTGCCAAAGGATCTCCTTGTGTGGTTCCTTCTGCTGACGCAATCTCTTTGCCGCCAACAATAAACAGCCGAGCTGTCTGTCTGTAGGTGTTTATAGCGTAGGCAGCGATTATCGGACATAACACACGGATGTTATGCAGAGCCACAGTTCTGTTGAGTGCATTGAATGCATTGGAAGCATCGATAAGTAAAACAGCATCAATGTCATCAGCTTCAAACAGGGTGTTCATTGCATGTATTGCAGCCTCACTTCCAGACTTTTCCCCAGCGCATAATTGTAACGATCCACTTGCTTCCACAACATCCTTCTTTGCAAAGCTCATAACACATTTTGCACTTATCCTCCTTATTACCTCTCCTACTCCGATAGGTCTTACCGCACCTTCGCCTTTGTCTAGGGGAATTAAACGACTAGCAATCAATGCTTCAATAGTGGTAGGATCGATATATTGTGTGCACAAAGTCTTGGTCATTCTGGCTATGTTGGTGATATTCCCCATTTCAGAAGGTTTTTGCGAGTCGGAAGAGTGTTATTTATATACCGGATAGTGAAGTTAAATATATAATAATAATAACAATAATAATAATAATAATAATAATAATAATGGAAACTTTATTACTTTCAATAATATATATACACACTACAATGATAAACCTCTCTTTACAGGTAGTTTACCAGTGTCTACTTGAATTAACACTCTACATAATAACAATATTAGTATGACATTAGTTGTGGGTTATCCCATTCTTTGTTACGCTTACAGAATATATAATACGAGGACCTGATACATATGTTAATAATTTTCCGAACATAGTACTTTCTACATTGTTCATCAAACTTTAGATCCTTCAGCATTTCGGTGAAATCTAGCGACGGGTGGCTGAAAACTCCTAATGAGCTAATCGATAAATTAACAAATTTCACTTTTTCATAATTCTTGAGCTGTTCGTTAATTAGATCTTGATATTTTTGTCTTTTTCGAGTTGCATTAGTGAGGAGATTAGATTCAAATCCGACGGTAAGTTCAAGTATATAAATACATTTGTTTTCAATAGTTATCAAAAGATCAGGGCGCAATTCATCTCTGGTGATAGCAGATGGACTGATATAGCCAGGAAGGTCAGCATAAAGGTTACAATGGTTCACAGATTTAAGTATGGATGCTATGAAGTTAAGCACCGAATTATGACGCCACGTGAAACGTCCTTCATTTAGGTAGGTCTTGCATCCAGCGACGACGTGAAGAAGTGATTCTGGATTAAAACAAAACGAACATTCGGATGTTGGTGATATTCCCCATTTCAGAAGGTTTGTGCGAGTCGGAAGAGTGTTATTTATATACCGGATAGTGAAGTTAAATATATAATAATAATAATAATAATAATAATAATAATAATAATAATAATAATAATAATAATAATAATAATAATAATAATAATAATGAAAACTTTATTAAATGGATATCTAGCTTATATATACAATTGCAAATCTCACTTTTTTAAGGTAATTTACAACTGGCTACTTAAATCACTGATTATATATACAAAAATTATACTATTAAGATAACAAAATGACAATACAACGTTTAAACACTTAACAGTTCCGGATTCATCCATTCCTTGTTTCGACAACAAAATATATAATACGTTGTTCGGATTGCAATCGTCGTCATTCTTCTAATACAGTAATTCTGATGTTGCTTTTGAAAACCAAAATCATTAAGCATTTCTATGAAATTAGAACATTCAAAAAGGAAAACGAAATTACAATACTACATGCACCTATGCCTTGGTAAAAATAATTATATATACAATATATATTCATTGATATGAATATAGTGAAGTTAGGTTTATTCGTCATTGTCTGTCTTGGCCAATGTCATGAAATGATTTTTGCACAAAGAATGAAATTCACTAGCCGTATTACAAGTCCTAATTTCAGCTGGAAGGCTATTAAATATTTTCAATGCTGTATGCTGAAATGTCCCATTAACAAGCTGGTTTACTAGTTTGAGTTCACTAGACGATCTGAGCGATCTTCCGGGTTTGTAAACTTCCAAAGAAAGATACGAAGGCCAATCGGCCATATATAGTGCTTTAAATATTAGTTTGGTCATGTGAAACTCCCTGCGATATTTGACTGGGAGCCAGGCTAATTTAAGTATGTCAGCAATGTTCGCATAATGATTCACCACAGAGCCTGCAGCTGCAAGCTGTACTCGTTGTAGGCGTTTGATAAGGTATTCTGGAGCTGGGTGACATACCACGTCGTTGTAATTAAGAACTGACAGGACTAATGATTGAGCCAGTTACTTTCTTATATGAAAAGGGGTGAAATTCTTGAGTTTTTTATGGCAGACAAGGTGCCATAACACTTAGACATTTTTAGAATAATGTCACAGTTCCATTTAAGATTCTCGTGTAACTCGGTTCCTAGTAATTTGGTTGTTGTTGTCCTCTCCAACGGGGCACTGCCAACAGATATGTTAATTTGATGTTCGTTGAGTTGACGCGAGGTCGCAAATTGATAAGTCGAGAAAATCATAGTTTTGGTCTCTTTAAGGTGGCTGGATATAGTTATCACAAAAACCCTGCTCAAGAATCGCGAACTCGAAACCGGGTGACCATTTTTACACGCAGGTCGTGGAAACTGATTAACAAAATAAAAGAACTTCGAAATTGACCTGACGTGAGCAGTTGCTCGCGCCATATCACGCCATTGCGCGTGTTCTATAGCGTTTTATGTCAATTGCTGACGTCATTAGAATTTCCATTTTAGAAAAACAATGCGCTATATCTCTTTGTTTTGTCCGGTGACCTATGTTCAATTTTTGCATGCTGTATTGTACCGCTAAAAACTTTCATTATACAAAAAACAAATTCTGTATTGCGAAAAAAATTTTACCGAAGAATATGACATTTTCGCATTTTCCAAAAAAATAGCATTACAGAATTTTTTTTATTTTGCTAATCGTCCAAGTAAAATAATGCACGAATAAAATTGGGGTCACCGAACTAGCAACAAACTATCTGTTAGTAAAACTAATATAATTTGTTGACCAGGACGATAACTTAGCCATAGCTTGTTGTAGCTGCAACTCACAAGAGTTCATCTCAATTGGTTTGCAGTGTTGCTATATAGTGGTGTCATCCGCATATTGATAAGTCTTGACTGGTCCTAACCCGTTAGATAGACCCTTTACGTATAGATTAAAAAGTGCAGGTCCTAAGGGTATTGATCCTTGCGGAACACCAAAAATTACGTTTAACCAAAGTAGAATTTTATTTTTCACTTTTTACGCATGAGTACTAATTATATGTGTGTATTGAATAATAATCGGGTAAAAGACATCGCATTGCAGTCGCTTGTCGCTTTCCTGCTCTGGTTCCCAACGAATTTACAAAAAAAATTGTACCGTAATCTACAAAGCCAAATGTTTGCCACACGACCGAAGAAACAGCTGGACAGCAAGCGTTTGCGAAACTCGCTATGTGTAAACCTTTTGAAATTGCATGGGTAATTGCTTGTTGCGCACAGGGAGTTGGAAAAAAAAATTTGTTCCAAGAGACTGCAGCTGGACGACCAAATTGTTGCCATGGATGGGTGCAATTTTTCATCTCGTGCATCCGGGACGGGACGATGAAGCTGCCAGTGGTGGTCCAACAATTTTCCAGGTGTGGCGTACTTTATTGCTTTCCGCGGGACATCAAAGTGCCCGAAGAAGACAATATTCGCCACACTTCACGATGCCGATATGGAACCAACAATAACCGAAATCAAGACACGCAATACCACAGGTTTGACACAGGTTGAAACAGCAGTGTGCAAGATTGCTCAGGTTGTTAAAGACCATAACAACGCCGCAACGAAAACATTGGTGATTGCATCCAACCTCTTTTCCCTTCGGTATGTCGTGCAAGAGAAATAGAAGACGAGGACGAAAACATCAATCGACGAAATACGAACGCTCAAATACCTTGTCTGCTTGTTGTCGTTCAACAAGATTCCTATGGTGGACTACTCAGTGAGGCTCACGCTGCTCTAACTTCAGACGGGTTGGAGTGCGAGTTAGGAATCATCTCGAGACCAACACAAAGCAACAAAGTGATAACGGCACCGAGCGACATAACGGCCACAATACGTGATATTGCACTCGTGATGATGCGGTGCCATCATGAACTCCATCGTGGATTCCTGTACGGCAAACCAATGGAAGCAACGTTGGCGTACGTCAAAATGATGGACGTTAATACATACGTCAATAAATTACGTACAAACGATGCATTACGAGAGAAGATCATCATGCTCATGTCTCGCATTGTACAACTGCTATCGCATCCCGGTTGCGAAATCATCAGGCAAAACGAATTCGATCCCGATTACATCGCAGTTAGTGACAGACAGGTTTTTGAAATCTCGACGCGCTCGTTTACGGAATGCCCACCACGCATGCCTTTGGGGAAAATTTCGCCTCGTACGTATATTCCATACGACAGCACGACGCCACCACAGCCGTTGTATTTTAAGAAGGGCATAGTCAATTCCTTTCCAGAACTGGACGTACGGACCGCGTTTCTAAATAAATTTTATCAATGTTTTGTTGGTCGTCGCATGCCTGAAAAAATTCGAAAATTTGTTGTGTCAGGACCGAAGGACTCGGGGAAAACGTCATAGGCGTGCGTTCTGTACAGAATCGTTCCCTCCGAACGCGTTGCTTCCATAACGAGCGAGAAACAAGTCTCGGCGTCTATGATAAATGACTCGACGGAACTTGTTGTAATCGACGACTGGTCTTCGTACACGATGCAATCCGACCTAGCTAAAACGCTTCTGCAGGAACAGCCTAAGTGCGTCTGGAACAATAGTCTGTTCTATATAACGACGAACAATGTTCCAGACTTCGGGAAGGAAATGGAAAACGTCGAACGACGAATTTCTGTGTAGGTAGGTAGGTAGGTAGGTAGGTAATACTTTATTTAAAATTAACAGAAAGAAGAACACGCTAGCCCCATCAACTCTAGGCTGGTTTCCATGGGGGGCGTGTTTAGATCTTAAAAATCATTAAAAGGAAAATTTAAACTAAATATTAGTACACACATACTGTACACGTTACTATATACAAATAATTAGGAAGCATGTCGCCGTCCAACAATTGATTTAAACGAATGAGGCGACTCGGCCAATTTTGCTTCGTTTGGGAGTTGATTCCAGAGCACAGCGCCGCTATATTTAAAACTTTTTTTAAGAAATTCTCGTTTCGGTTTAGGAATTGTTAGATCAGTTGCTGTGTTTCGAAGATGATAATTAGTTTGATCTATTTCTCTTCTCACGAATGACCCCCGGAGACCTGGCGCAGTGTGGTCGTTAAGTATTCTATACATTAATACTGACTTGGCACCAGACCGCCTATTTTCAAGTGTATCCCAAGAAAGCATGTTGAGAAGATCAGCTGAGCGAGTATCATAATTAGCACCCGCTAGGACTCTTGCTGCACGAGACTGAAATCTTTGCAACTTGTCTCTTAGCAACTTACCACAAGTGTCCCAAAGGGGGGAACAATAATCAAAGTAGGGCTGCATAAGACTTTTATAAATCGATTCTAAGGTATGCATTGGAACAAAGGGCTTTATACGTTTCATAGCGCCAATAGCAGCGCTCGCCTTCTTGCATATCATTTCAATGTGACTATCCCAATTAAGGGTTTCATCTAGTTTTACTCCTAGGCACATTTGTGTAGCAATTCGTGATATGGGTTTTGCATTAGCCACAACGGGTTCCTCACACATTATATTATTAAGATTATATGGGGAGCCAATAAACATCATTTTACATTTTGATGGATGCATCTGCAGCCTATTTTCTTTAAGCCAGTTACAGACATGGGCAAGATCTGAATTTAAATTTACAACAAGTTCATTTGCATCGTAGGAAGATGAAAAGATTTGAGTATCATCCGCGTACATGCATGGATTAGTTGATTTCAAACAATCGGGCAAATTATTAATGTATAATAGGAACAGCAGTGGTCCCAGTATAATAATAATAATAATAATAATGGTATTTTAATAACACATCATCGCATGAAAATGAATTACAATGTGTTTTACAATTGATTTGAATGGGAATTACAATACTAAAAGTAACTATATTACAATGTATCATTAGATTATTAAATAAGAACTTATAACTAAGAACAATTATTTGTTTAAAACACCAATCATGCTAGGGAAAAAACTATTACTAAATCTATCAGTTCTACATTTAAAAGAAGCGAATTGTTTAAAATTCTTTAAATTATACACATGTTCGTTTTCACTGGTGAGAGTTAGATGGGAAGAAAGACGACTGCCCAATGCAATATTTTTCATCGTCTTCAGTATAGATCCCTGGGGCACTCCACAGGTGATAATTTTATTACTAGATAATTCTCCATTAACGTTACATTGCTGTTCTCTATTTGTTAAATATGACTCAAACCATTTTAATTCTACGCCAAAAATTCCAAATTGCTCATTCATTTTATTTAACAAAATGCGATGGTTTATAGAGTCAAATGCCTTTTTGATATCTATGAACACAACCCCATTTAACTTTCCAATGTCCATATTTTCTAGCCACTCATCACACATTTGGATGAGGGCAGTTACAGTTGAATGCTTTGGACGAAATCCAGATTGAAACTTTGACAGAAGAGAGCTATCAGACAAGTATCTATATACTTGACGGAAATCTTCCTTCTCAAAGGCTTTACTCACCACCGGTAAAATTGAAATAGGCCGATAGTTCTCACATTGTCTTTTATCCCCGGATTTAAATATTGGCGTAACACGAGCACGCTTCCATTCATCTATATATACGCCTGTTGCAAGCGACAGATTGAAGATGAATGTCAACGAGGGTGCAATTATGTTTGCAGACAATTTTAGAATTTTAGCAGGAATTTTATCAAGACCTGTTGCTTTACATGCTTTTAGGCCTCTTAGGGTCGAGGCAACACTATCAACGGATATTGGAGATACTTTAAAAAAAGTATCTAAGGATTGATTAATTAATATTATAGTTTATGGGCTGATTATCAACATTACTACAGGACTCGTCTACATATTCTGCTGCTAGCCTCGACCCAATACTAATGAAATAGTCATTAAATGCATCTGCAATAGATTTAGGATCCGAAACTAACGTGCTGTCAACCAGCAGCTCATTCACATTGTTGGATTTGTTATTCTTTTCCAATAATGAATTAATTAATTTCCAAGTCTTTTTAGGGTCATTCATTACAGAGCAATCAGTGATTTTATCATGAAAATATTTTGATTTTACATTTCGCATTTCAACATTCACTTTATTCCGCAGAAATTGAAAACTTTCCCAATGTGGCTGTGAGGAATGTTTTATTGCATATTTTTTATAATAGTCTCTGTTTCTCATCATACATTTAATTTCCGGAGTAATCCATGGGACCGAGTTCCCCTTTACTCGTTTATGTCGAATCGGCGCATGTATATTTAATATCTCATTAAAGAAAGATTTCCATACCCTCCAGCATTCGTTGGGATTATTATATTGATTAATTACATGCCAAGGCATTCTGGCTAAATCCCCAATAAAATATTCAGCATTAAAATGTTTATAATCCCTAACTTCTTTCACATTAGGTTTGAGTTTTGGAAGGGTGAACTTCCTGACCACATAAATCAAACTATGGTCAGACATCCCCAGATTTATTACACCAGACGTCGAAATGTTTTCTTTAGCATTAGTTAAGACCAAATCAATCAAGGTCGCCGAGGTGTTGGTCTCTCTTGTAGGTTTATTAATTAATTGGTCAAGTTGATAAAGAGAACACAAAAAGTTTAATTGTCGTGTATGGGCATCTGGTGAGGTTTTCATAACATCGCAGTTAATATCACCAATTATAATCAATTCCTTATTTTCAGACTCGCATTTTTGAAAAAATACATCACAATCATTAAATAAGCTCAAGTTTGACTTCGGAGGCCTATACCATGTGCAGACAAAAAAGCGACTTGCTAAAGGGGCGAGTAATTTCAGCACACAGCATCTCAAGACGATCGGGCACCAAGTCATTCCTATCCAAATAGGATAGGTTGTCTCTGATATACAACACCACACCGCCTCCTGCCCTATTACGGTCCTTTCTTATCAAGTTAAAACCAGGGATACTTATTTCCCCATCCATTACAGAATCATCTATTTTGGATTCATTAATAGCAAAAATATCGAAGGGAAATTTAAATAACAGATGTCTAATTTCCTCAATGTGTTTCAATAAGCTATTGACATTTATACTAGCAATTTTTAGGCCTTTTAATCTAGCGACGCAATGCAATGCAGAATCAAACTCACCCATTGTTGGACCACGGCATGCTTTACCTGAATTGTCATTCCCAACATCTAACGGCGAGGTTTCTTGTATAGTGGAATTGTCGTTGGTTAGGTTGTTAGCTGGGTTAGTAGTTGTCCCAGCTGATGTATTGGGTTTAAAAAACCCATTTGCAGCTTCGCTCGTTTTCCCAATGGCCTAATAAATTTTATAAAATTATTGGCTAAATAAGCCGATCCCTTTGCGTTCAAATGTAGTTTGCTGCCGTTGAGGCATGTTCCATCAATACGCGAATTGTCAATAACAACAAAGTCATCATTGTTAGCCATCTCCTTTAACTTTCCATTGACTGCAGATAACTTTGCCGACACATTGATATCATCTCTATGT